TCCAGTGTCCTGCTAGGTTTGTGTGCGGTAGGGTTAGAAGCAACAGCGACACCACCACCGCCGCCGCCGCCGCCCCCACCACCACCACCACCACCACCACCACCACCGCCACCGCCACCACCACCACCACCGCCACCACCACCCCACAACGACCATCTCCGCCAGCACCAGCACCAGTACAGGCACCAGCACCAGCACCACGACGACGACGAGCACGAGCACGAGCACGAGCACTAGCACTAGCATGACGACGACGACGACTGCGACTCCGACTACGACGACGACCACTAGTACTTGTTTAGTATATCATACCAGCCTTATTACTGTCACATGTTTATTGCTACTCCCTTTGTTGATGGTTGCTGCTACTAGTGTTACTAGTTTTGTTGCTATCAAGCATCATTCGTATGATTCGTGTCTCTCACCCATACTGCATTCGTTCTTGTTGTTACTGAATCAAGGGTTTGCGACATGTCGATTGCTGTGGAAGTGGGGCTGCTCAGTGGCAAGAGAGCTTTCCTGCAAGCCGGCTGGGAAGAGGAGGTGTGATTTGGTTCCACAAGGTGTTTCACGTGATGGTTTACGGTGTTTAGGCTTTGATCTAGAAGCTAGAAGAATGACAAATGCTCTTCCTGGGGGTTCCTATTCCTTAGGGTCCCTTGTGTATACAGTGTACCCCAGAGAGGTGGGAACGTTGAAGCGTCGGGCGCAAGCTGCACTCGGAATCGCCAGAGGGCGGCTGGTGGACTCGTCTGGAAGCTGTCTGGATGAATCTACGCGAATAGAGGATGCCAGCATGCAGAATGGTGATTCGCTGCTCTTGCACGTAAACCAAGTTCAAGCATGCGGCACCAAAGCCGCCTTTGCTGCCATTCTCGGCGACGGATCTGTAGTGACCTGGGGTGATCCGTCTTTTGGTGGTGACTGTAGTGCTGTGCAAGATCAACTGAAGACTGTGCGACAGATCCAAGCATCTAGCGGCGCTTTCGCGGCCATTCTTGCTAACGGATCTGTCTTGACCTGGGGTCGTCGTCGTTGTGGTGGTGACAGTACTGCTGTACAGGATCAGCTGAAGAATGTGCAGCAGATCCAAGCCTCTAGCGGCGCCTTTGCTGCAACTCTTGGTGATGGATCAGTCGTGACCTGGGGTGATGCTGAGCGTGGTGGTGACAGTAGTGCTGTGCAGGATCAGCTGAAGACTGTGCAGCAGATACAAGCCACTGAATTGGCCTTTGCCGCCATTCTCGGCGACGGATCTGTGGTGACCTGGGGTGATGCTCGTTTTGGTGGTGACAGTAGGGCTGTGCAAAATCAGCTGAAGACTGTGCAACAAGTACAAGCCACCGGCTACGCTTTTTGTGCCATTCTCAGTGATGGATCTGTCTTGACCTGGGGTAATGTCCGCCTTGGTGGTGACAGTAGTGCTGTGCAGAATCAGCTGAAAAATGTGCAGCAGATACAAGCTACGGACGTTGCCTTTGCCGCTATTCTTGATGATGGTTCGGTCGTGACCTGGGGTCTTGCTCGCTGTGGTGGTGACGGCAGTGCTGTGAAGCATCAGCTGACGAATGTGAAACAGATCCAGGCCTCTAACGGCGCTTTTGCCGCCACTCTTGGTGATGGATCCGTCGTCACCTGGGGTGATGCTGAGCGTGGTGGTGACAGTAGTGCTGTGCAGGATCAGCTGAAGACCGTGCAGCAGATTCAAGCAACTGAATCGTCCTTTGCTGCCATTCTCGACGACGGATCTGTGGTGACCTGGGGTGATCCGGTCTTTGGTGGTGACAGTAGTGCTGTGCAGGATCAACTGGAGACTGCGCAAGAGATCCAAGCGTCTAGCGGCGCATTCGCTGCCATTTTGGGTGACGGATCAGTGTTGACCTGGGGCGACGCTCGTTGTGGCGGTGACAGTACTGCTGTAAAGGATCAGCTGAAGAAGGTGCAGCAGATACAAGCCACTGACGTTGCCTTTGCTGCAACTCTTGGTGATGGATCCGTCGTGACCTGGGGTGATGCCGAGGGTGGTGGTGATAGTATGGCCGTGCAGGACCAGCTGAAGAATCTGTGGCAGACCTGCTTCTAACGGTCTGCTTTGGAGCACGGACTTCTGTTGGGATTGGCTCCAGCATCTGCGACGCTGCCGCGGCGACCCACTGACTGCCCAGATCAAAGTGTGAGCCGATACTCCGTTGAAATATGCCATGCACAGATCCTATCTGTCTCGATGTTGATGGCAGTTTCCATGATTCCAGAAGGCATAAGAGGTATATATCAGGCGATTGTGGAAAACCTGGTAATCCCTTAAGCTTTGACCCTGAGCAGTGACATGCGTCGTGTCTTTGGGAGACGTTCGCGCGATGTGAATGTGGTGGATGCTATGCCAGTCCCGGGTCCCGGTGCTCTGCTTGTTGACCCATGTCGTTCGAGAGCCCGGGCATATGTCTGGGCTGGTCTCACTTCAGACTTTAGCGCCGGCTGTGCGGCATGAGTCAGCAGAGGCGGCAAGAAAGAGATCCCGAAACAGAGGGACGAATAAGAAACTGCAGAAACCCTACCACCCTAAACCCCAGTAAAGGGAGGCTCCACCCTGTGTCAGGCTGACTTGCACCTGATAGACCTCCTCTGGCATGGCTAAGTTTGAGTTGTGAAATCATAAGCCCTAGGCCCTCTCGGATTCCCTTCTCCTTTCCGGAAGGTGCTCCACTGCGCCGTGGTTTCGAAGCCGACTTCCGAGGGAAGCCACATTACGTGGGACCTTCGCGAGACGCTGGGCCTGGGGCTGAAGACATCGGCTTCCAAGTTTTGAACTTGAAACCTTGTTGCGTGGGAGAACCGAAGCCTAGCTTGCCCAGTATGTTTGGGCTTTCCACGGTGCCACTGAGAGTTCAGAAGTTCTGGATGCCTGTTTGTTGCAGGTCGAATGCCGTATGCCATGGGTGTGCCCTTCACGGAGGAAGTGAGGCACTTGCCCTGGTCAGCCGTCGGCCTTTGACCTCGAATGCCACATGGGCAGTTGTCAAAATTATGGTCCGTTTTGGGGTACCCTAAATAGTAGGTGCCGTATTATAATACGGCCCAAAAAGGGACCATAATTTTGACAACCACCCACATGGATTCTGTCAGAACGTTCCTAGTTTCATCAACCCTTGCCTTCATTGGCCACCCTGCTTGCATGGGTTGCGGCCGTAGAGTTTTGAGGAGTCAGCTCATGCTGAAGTGATGTGGTCACCGTGGTGTGTGGTGTGGGTGGCGCTGCCCTAAACCCTAAACCCTAAACCCTAAACCAAAACCCCTAAACCCCTAAACCCTAAACCCTAAGCCCTAAACCTAAAACTTCTAGTGGCGCAACCGCAGGCTCAAAAGACTGATTGAAAGTCCGCTTCCCCTTCAGTTGCACAGGGCCACCTCCGATGAGGGCACCGAGATCCAGCTGATGGCAGGGACCTTCAAGGGCATGATAATATAGGGGCCTTGATAATTAGAAGAGGGTTTTGGGGTATGCTACACTATAAGTATAGTTTGGAACCCCCAAAACCCTATTCTATTTATAAAGGCCCTACATTACAGCGCCTCCGGCACTCTGCTTCCAGCCAGTACAGTTGCTAAAGCAAGCTTCTGCACCACCAGCCATAAAAAAACCCGAAAACCCTAAAGCGAGGGAAAAAAAACCACAAACTTGAAGCACTCAAGATCCTCAGCATGTCTCTGTCTTTGCACGACCACAGCAAGCCTAAGGCCGCTAGGCAAGAGACCTCTTGACTCACATTGAAGAAGTTCATCTGCTCCAAGGTTTAGGGTTTTGGGGTTTTGGGGTTTTGGGGTTTGGGGAGCTCCAATCAAGCCTGTGAATGAAGGGTTTATGGTTTAGGGTTTGGGGTTTGGGGCATTATTGGTTCCGACGGTGTTGGGCTACCGAACCATGGAGCACCCGAATAAAGACTCCGAGGTTTTGGGGTTCCGAGCACCTCGACCCTGCCCTGGGTACATCAACTGACAAAAACCGCAATGTCAGAAGTTTGGGGTTGCAGGTTCTACAGTTTCCGGGGCTCCTCCGACCCAAGAGTTGATGCAGTGATCTCTGAGTCTTTTGCGCGGTGTGGGTGCAATGTGCATCCGCAGAGTTCTCCCCCCTAAACCCCTAACCCCTACACCCATGCAAGTCTGTCTTCGACATGGGCGTGATTGCGGAAAGTAGGCGGGAAGTACTGCAGGTCACGTTCTTCCCGGGCGGGCACACCTCAGCTCCAAGGGATCATGCTTCCCGGCATCTTAAAGGTTTAGGAGTTGCGCAATGTGTTGAGAGGCAGGGGTCCTCAGTTCTATTGCTGATCTTGAAAGGTTTGCAAGATGTAGGGAGGGCTTAATCATGACTACCGGGCTTCATCATTATCGCGCCTTGAACTTTGGGATTTTACGGATTTGGGAGCTTTAGGGCCTCCGGCACAAATGTCCTCAGCTTGTCCGACTTCGCAGCTGGGCTGGGCGTCCGGACTCCTGGCGAGCTGATTCTGATGTGCATCCTCAGAGTGGTATAGGGTTTAGGGTTTAGGGTTCAGGGTCTGAGTCTTCATTGATGCTTGTTTAAACCACTCGGGTGGCAATGGCATCAGATATGAGGAGGACGCTAGGAAGCTACCAACGTGTAAATGCGCGGCCTTTCCTGGAATCCTACCACCCGAGCAAGAGGCTACCCACATGTGGTGAAGTGCTTTTGGGGTGTGTCGTCGCTGCTGCTTGCGCGATTCACTCGAGACCAAGTTGTTATTGCTACTACTCTCAAGATTGTGTCGATTGTTCGTGTTAACCCTAACCCTAAACCCAAAACCCTGAACCCTAATGTTAGTGTTACTGTTTTTATACTTGCGATTCTTCTCGCTATAAGTTAGTACCTTAGATCCCGCAGAAGCGCCCGGAAGGGATTCCGAAGCTGGCCCCGGGATGCGCAAGGTCTCCCTCTGGGTGTCGCCACTGAGAGGCCTGGAGGCCCTGAGGGTTCAGACCTGCCCGGTCTTACGGTGGATCTAATGTAGGGGCCTGGATAATCAGACTAGGGTTTTTCGGTACGTGTTATGCTTTAACTATAATAAGGAACCCCCCAAAATAGTATTGGTACTTATTTAGATTAGGCCCCTACAAATATGCTTTCTGGCACTTTTGGGCAGAAGGCTCGGGTGGAAAGGAGCTTCGGGTTCGCGGTCGCGATTGTGAAATACATTTTGGTTTAGGCTCTTCGGCAGACCTTTTTTCGACCAGGGTCTGCAAAATCGGGACTTTCCGAAATTAGGGGTACCTTATTTTGGGGTCCTTATAATAAGGATCCTACTATTTAGATTTAGAGTACTATATTAGGGTCCCCTATTTTCTGAAACCCCCAAATCGGGAGGTAAAGCAATGCGCATACGAGTTGATCATGTACCAGCAGCTCGGAGCTAGTAATATAAGTGCTTCTGCCATTCACGGCCGCCTCTCCTGGACGGCTAAAACCCCAAAGAGCCCACAGAACGAACTTTGACAGCAAACAGTTCCCTTCACAGCATCGTGATTTCTTGATACACCAATCTGAGTTTTTCTTCTCTTCTCTCCGGCACATGGCCTCTTACAGGACCTCGGGTTCTGTGTAGAGTGTAGTATCCACCTGCCGTGCTGGAAGTCGAGGCTTTTCCCAACTTTCACTCCAACTGATACCCTCCGAAGTGCTGGCAGTGCATTGCGAAACTGCCGGAGGCAAAGCAAATAGACGCATTGCTACAATAGAACCTTTTGTTAAAACCCGGTCGCCTCGACACACCCTGCAGGATCGCCGCCTTGCCCTCAGTTTGTATCAGTATCAGCTCTCGTTGTAAGAACAGCCTGCAGCTACATGTCCCAGATCTTCAGCTTGACTGCGAGCGCGGATGCGGAGCAAGTAGCTGGTTAGCTTTCACTAGTAACAGGGACTCCTGTCGCATTGAGTGCCTGAGGTTACGCCTGCATTGTGGACGGCAGCCAGGAGCAGCGCGGTTCCGGCGAGTCCATCTTGCACTTCCCGCGTGCGGAGGTCTTCGGACACAGCCTCAGAAGCAGGGCTGACACAAGGCGCGAACAAAAAACATGGTAGGCAAGGACGTCATATGATCTCAAAGTGCGACAGTCAGCACGCCTTCCCGAGCAACAGCGAGTAGCTCGCCTCTAATCCGCGAACCTTCTGCACCCTGTAGCCCCATCCTACACCCCCCTCACCCCAACCCACACCCTGAAACACAAGCTCAAAAACAGCTTGCCAAGGAGAAATTGGTATTGTCATTTGCCGATCTCCGAGCCCGGATGCCCCACGGCGATTGCGGCGCTTCAGTGACCGGGAATATCCTGGGAGGGAGCCAGAAGCAGCGTAGCACCACAGGCTCTAAATAAGCACAACGTAGAGACGCAGAAACACGCCATACAACTGATCACAAGTAGTAGGCAAGATGTGCATGAAGAAGTGAACACGCGCACATGTAAGCCTACACGCATCATCCGCACCCGACTCGAAACCACTCTGAGCTGATCCTCAAAGGGGACGAAAGAAGAGCCATGTGCACTGCGACGGGGGCGAGTGGATGTTATAGAAGCCCTTAAAGGAGCAAAGGATCGCTTACAAGGGTATATGGACCTAAACCCGAAAGCCTCGGATTTTCCAAGCCGTTCAGGAAGATCCTGGGCTACATGAGTGGCTCTAAGTCTGAACACAAGGGGCTTCAATCAGTGGAATGGGTAGGGTTTACAGCAGGGTCTTTAGTTGAAAAGTTTGGCCTAGTGCTCGGAGCTGCTGCATCAAGCCATGGGCTCAGAGTGTAGTTAGGTAAACAAGAGCTCATACAAGCAGTAGGGGCCGGACAAGGGTGAAGCGGTTTCTGGCGGATCGAAGGAACCAGCTGGATACACAGTACGGCCTTCAAGCGGTCAGCTGTCAAGCTTTCAACAAGTTGGCCCCAAAGTCGATCATCTAGCATTGACTTAGTTTCGCTATGCATGCCCATGTACAAGCTGCATTCTGCGGCTGATATACTATGACTTTCGAGTGCCCATGCAGGCGGTCCTTGTCCACGTGGGCCTGCTGCATCCTCACCAGGACTGTCCTTGGCAGTAGTTGAAGTTACCGGGCCTGTCATAAACCAACAAGCCACCTCAACGCAAATCTCAATGTTCATCCCCTCCCTCTTGCACCAATGATGCCACAGGTATGGTTCTTACCTTGGGGGGGGGGTGGAATCAGTTTAAGCCTGCTAAGGCCCACAGGTTACTCTTTCAATGACGTCCTAAATCCTATTTAACCCACAGCCCTGTAAACCCTAACCGTAAACCTTCATAGAACGCCTGTGGCAAACTCAACTGCACCTGGCAGGGCTTCTTCCACAAGCGGAGCGAAGGCAGTGAGCCCAAGCCCCAGCTGGCTGCAAAAAAAAAGAGGTCGGGACAAGGAGTATAGTAGTACAGGGTTTAGGGTTTCGGGTTCCCCTTGTAGTCCCGAGATACACTTTAGGTATACTACAAGATGCCGCAACACCCTATTCTAAATATTGAGGCCCCCTATGTAAGTTCATTCTTCGGCTGTGGCTCCCCACGGACTTTGGCCAAGTGATTGGACCGTGTGATGATAGGGGCCTGAGCAATTTTACCAGCACTGTACCTGCGGTTCCGTTACATGTAAGCATAAGTTTCTATTAATGTTATAACATATACCCTTATACCCTATTCTCATTACGAAGACTCCAATTACAGGGAGAAGGGGCGGGCGGCCAAGTCCGAAGGCGGGTTGGTCAAACAGCCGTCCCTTCCTGCAAGGAGACAGATACTGGTACGAGAGGCAGGAAGGACCCTAAACCCTAAACCCTAACTTGTTGAGAGGCTTTGGCAATCCTCCGCAGTCTTATCATGAACTTCGGGGTGCCTTTCGACCACCTGTCTTTGCACAACCCTCGGCTCCTATCAAGGTTTTTTAATCAAAGTTCTCTCGAATTCCTAAGGATTGTTTGCATGTCTGTTCGTTTCATGGTCCTCTCCGGGAAAGAGCAAGTAGACCACAGCCCCGAACGCATCTAACGCAATTCTCCTCAGTGACGTGGCTGACCCATCTTCGAAACCAAATTCCTACCGGGAAACTCCTGTCCATCCGGGGAGATCCTCGCCGGTCCAAAATGAGAGCCTTCTCCTTTTGGCCCTTCTCTTCCTCCTGCTCTTGTGACACGCACTGTTGATGCTGAGAATACTTGCTTCAAGGTGGCACGCTGTCCGGCGCCTCGCAAGCGAAGCATCGATTGTGAGCCTTGCTAGCCAGGCACCCCGAAGTGTCAGCTAGTGCGTCAGGTGCTGCCAAGGTCGAATGGTTTCGATTTCTTCGAGATTGGGGTTTTGGGGTATATGACACGATCATTCTAATTGGGAACCCCCCGAAATAGTATAGGTAATTATTTAGTTAAGCAGCTAGTGCGCCAGCAGCTCTGAGGTCGAATCCTCTTGATTTCTTCACGTATCTGCAGCGAAATCAACATCCTGAGGATGCGCCAAGCCATGCTCCAAGCCAGCACCTGAAAATCATCCAAAGCCCCGCTGCCAAGCAAGGATCACTACCTTCTAGGACACCAAGCTGCTTGAAAACAGGTTTCATGGTCATGCCTGGAAGGCGGAGGCAACAATCGAGCTCAACCATCTGGTCATCTGGGAAGCCCCAAACTCCAGCAGTCGAAACCCGAAATTGGTTGCAAAGAAGCGTGCAGGCCACGCTTAGCCAGGTGATCCTGGAGGGTTCCAGGTCTAAACTCAAGTTTTAAAAGAGTTTCGGGTAGGGTTTCTCTAGACTCAAAAGGGTTTCGGGTCCAGACGTCTTTTCTGGATCCTTGGCAACAGGTCGCACAGTCGTGGCCTGACAGCCAGCAAGCCCAGGTGCAAGCCAAGAACTGAATCCCCCAAACAACCCACAACTCCTATACGTTCAAAAATGCTTCATGGGTATTTCTCTAAATTAGGGTCCCTCTTTGGGAACCCCAAATAGTACGGCACCCGTATAAAAAGACCCTAGCAGGGACCCTAATCTAGAGAATTACCCGAATCTTTATCACTAACCTCTGGAGGGATGGGCTCTCCGGACAGACATGAGATCGACGGCAGCGGTTCGCTCGGTGCTCAACTTGGGTTCACAGCTGGGCGGCAAGGGCATCCATTGTCGAGGGTTTACGGATGAGGGAGGTGTCGGGCTTAGGATTTCGGCTGCGAGATGCGAGATCAGGCGAGCATACAAGCACCGAGGAGGGTGTGTGATTGAGGTATACTTGTACCCACTTCCAGTTCAACCTGACATATTCGAAATCTGCCAAACGTGTCGGCTGAATGGCGAAGTTGCGATAGCCCTCGGTTCATCGAGGTGTTTGGTCTTTCTAGCATCAATCTAACGACCGCATGTAGAAGAATTAAACGCAGGTTGTCTATGTCTGGACGGGTAGCCTCGAAACGATCGTGGCTACCTTCGTCAGCTGCCGTATTGGCAGAAAGGTGTTCGATTTTTCGAAGCGCATCTTGTTCAGGGGGACGTAGCTGCATGACTTGCTGATGACCGACTGTTTTCGCCAGCACGGGCCATTTTTGCAATAGCCCCAGTGCCTAGACACCTGGTTTGTCTCACGAATCCGACCTGCGAACAAAGAACCTCATCTAGCTGAGTCGGCATGCGGGAGCCCACATCTTTGGGCGGCCCACATCTTTGAGCGGGGGCAGGTTTGGCTGCCGTTGCTGGAGGCAGTCCGCCGCACACTTAGCATTGCATGTGAGCTGCTCGAAGCGATGCCGTAGCAGAGTCCGGGTTTGGATTTGGTTGATTGGCCGTCTTCAGAAGGACCTTATCCCGTCTAAGTCCAAAACGGCACCAGTGCGGGATTCGATGCCGACGAACGAAGCTTTGATATGTTGTGCCCGAGCAAAGCACGACAAGTGCTCTTGGTAAAATTTCGCCAAGGGAGTCTTGTTGACAAGACGAGGTGCATACAAAGGCTTGACCAGGCGTGAGCTAGCATGCAAAAGAGATTTGGGAATGAACGAAACGCGTAGAGTCCGAACGTCAGAGCCCACGTCTTTTCACCCCAAGCCCTGCCTGTGGCTCTAATTGGCTACTTTCTTTATCGAACGGGGCTGTACCTTGCAATTAGGAGTCATGGCTAACATACTATTCTGTAGGGTTTGGGCGTACAGGTAGGGCCTTGTCTTGTTCGACAGTAATGGGGAGAGCCATCAGGGTGCTGCTGGTTTGGGATTGAAACCCAGTAAGTGATGATAGAAGCCCGATTTGAGTTGCACGACTACCGTAGCGGTGAGGCACAAGCATCGTTTCCAACTCTTCTCGTCTGTCATAGCCGACAAGTAGGCTATCGGAATGCAGGGTGTGTCCCCGCGGATTTTTGCCAAGTTGGCGGTAATACTTAAAGCTCAGATCCCCGGAGCACTCTCCGAGACTAGATCCCACACATCGCTCATTTTGGGCCGCTATGGAGCGGACTTCCCCACCCAGAGCCTTAAGGCGCGATCCCAAACTCGAACGTCTGAGGCACTCCGTCATCAGTGCCATGTCGAAGACGAAAGATGCTTGGCACGGTGCTCAGAAAGCTGCACACTTTCTCTCTTCGGCGTCTGCCTTGTGGGTTAGTGTGGTGTGACTAACTTTGGCCGCAGTTTGTCAGGAAGTCTTGGAGCAGTAGATGTTGGACACATACCAGCCGAAGGAAGTCCAGGCCCCAACCCCCAAAAATACAGCAGTCGGGGTTCCCTACACATCCCTCGCGCAGAATCGTCTCCCACTTAGAGGAGTACTTAACTTGCAGCATTGAAAGTCTTCAACCCTAAACCCTAAACCCTAAAACCCTAAACCCTAAACCCTTCATATCAGAAAACCTCTCAGGCTCAGCAAGCGGCACGTGGGTGAGCTGTATAGGCTCCGCTTTTTGAGGGGACGACGGATCTGATTGTCAAGCTTCTCACTACCGGCTTTAGGGTTTAGGGTTTAGGGTGGCTTCTTCGAAAATTACGCTCCAAATGCCATTCTTGGGTAAAACTCAGCACCAACAGGAGAATCTCAAGCAAGTTGATCCCAAACACCTATATAAGCCCTAACTCCTAAACTCTATACCCACATCCCCATTCTGAGCAAAAAAGCATAGCTAAACTGTCGGCTTAAAGCTTCGATCTGGCTTGGAAGGAACGTAGTTCAGGGAGTTTTTCTTTTACAAGGGGGTGTTTATGGGGTTGGTCTGCAGGATCGTCTGACATGTGCGCTGCGCAAAAGTGTGTCCGAAATCAGAAAACTAGAACCAAAGGTCAGCTTATTTTCATGGATTCCCATGTCCGGAAGAGCAGAGATTTCGGGTGGTCCTCGGCACCTATTGGTCTTAAGACAGCAGAAAGGCTTGCCCATCTGGGGATAGGTATAACTCGAAAAAATTTGTTCTCTTGCCAAAGTTCTTCCCAAACAATTTGCGTGACTGACTGACACTCAAAAAGTTCTATAGAAGCTTCCAGGCGCGAAATTAATATTCTGATACTCATCCCGCCTAGTCAGCCTAGTTGAACCCTTCGCCCCCCGATCCTGTTGCAGTTGGGCCGAATCGCCGCATGGCAGTCAGCTGCTGGACCGAACCCGGCAGGGCACCCATTAGGGTTTAGGGTTCTGGGCATGGCTCCCGGCTGATTGGAGAGAGCTCCGGGTTCAAAAAAGGGGTTTAGGGTTTAGGGTTTAGGGTTTAGCGCATTCAGAGTGTCTGAACCTGCAGACGCTTCTACTCGCCACCCACATTTCGACTCATCCCTGGAGCAGTCCCGTGGACTAAGGTTCCATAGCCAATTTCATAGATGCGCAAGATTCTAGAGCCACCGAGGTTCACGAAGCTCAGGAATCTGTGGTCTCATCTCCACACCTGCCCCAAGCCCGAAGCTTTCAGTTCCACTGGTGCCTACTACTACTACTACTGCTACTACTACTACTACTACTACTACTACCACCACCATCACTACCACGACCACGACCACTATGACTGCCACTAACAAGACCGCGACGACATCGACGTCCACGACGCCGACGACTACTACTGCCACTTGTACTAGCAGCAGCCTCCGTTCCAGTACCAATACCAGTGCCGGCATACTCGTCCAACAATAGCTATTCTTGCTGCTGCTACTACCGCCACCACCGCCGCCGCCACCACCACCACGACGACCGCGACGACCACGACGACGACTACTGCCATGACCACTACCGCTACCAGCACTAGCAAGGACCACGGCCACGACCATCACCACCTCCACGACTACGACGACGACTTCAACTACCACTGCTGCTACTACTACTACTACTACTACTACTACTACTACTAGTCCCCCTCCTCATACTCCGCCACCACCCATTGGAATACAGCATCCCGGACACCCGCATCGGGCAAGAAGCTCTGCGCACCTGCTTCTGCTCTGCTTCGGCTCGAAGCTCAAATCCCGAAGGTGCAGTATAGCTAGCGGCAGGCTTCCAGACGCACTGCTCTCAGCCTTTTGAGGCCCACGCCTTCTGGGTCCTGTTCTTTAAAGTCGCCGCTTTCAGCTGCCATGCCTTCGCCTGGTTGTCCTCCCTTGAAAATCTCAAGCGCCACGATGCAGCCCTCGGAGGCTCGAGGGTCTCTCTTCAGGATGTAGGTAACCTTTTAACCTTCTTGGGCCTTAGGGCCTGGGGGTAGTATCATCCCAGTATAATATAAGTAAGGGCGTGGAGCTCAGGTTCTGCATCGTCGCCAGAGGGCTTACGCATTCAACAATTTGTTGTTGTTCCCCTGTGTTAATGGTTTCTGGTTCCGTGCAACTGTTCCGCACATTTTGACTGATTCCTGAAACTTGAAATGCTTACTCAGGGCTATTGCTTCTGCATCAAAGATGTACATTGCGAAGTAGGGGTTCTTGATTTGAGGGCTCATTCCAAAAATGAGGGGCTGAGGTTTATAGTGCTTCGGGAGGTGTGACGAGGCTAGGACGAGGCCTCTTGCATTTTGTGTTGGGCAATGAGGCTAAACTACGGGAGCGGGTAAGTGTTGCTAGGGCATTCTCGTGGGTCTGGCAAGGGAGACGGGAAGCTGGACAGAAACTACTAGAGATCATTCAAGTGCGCGCATGTGCCTATGTTGGTGGATGGGTGTGGGTGTTGGGGGTTGGGGTTGCGAACTTGCCCTCGTCTCTGTCGTGTCTCATCCTCTATACCAGTACTCGAGCCCACGAAACTGCTGCGTCTCGTCTCAGACCACACCGCGGCTGAACGAGAAAGCGGGTGACCGCACGCTCTTCGACTTGGCCGCCCGGTTCCAGTATCCCGTTGCTTTGTGCCCGTGCACCGGCCAAAGGCCCCATTACCCCAAGTGCCCACAATCACAGCGGTTTGGGCTCCTATCCGTTTAGTATTTTTAGGGTGCAGGATGGTGTGGGGTATACCAGAATGCCGACCTGAACAGGTGCCCAAAGCCCCAGTAAACAGAAATGCTCGTACATCCATCGGAAAGAAGAGACAGACACAGCACTGCCCTCAGGTAAAGGATGACGAACGTTGGGCGCCCTTGGCCGCACATATACAGATACATGCAGAGACCTAGCTCAAGTTGTCATCGCGCCGTTTCTGCTCGGGGTCTCGGATCGAGTAGGCAAATCTTGATCGTGAGCGGGCCTGATGGCCTTTGCCAGTGCCGTCAAGCTCTCTTCAAGTAGCGTAGACGATCAGGAAGGCCTTTTACAGGAAGAATGCACTGGCTCCTAGCCCAACTCAGCACCGATTCGAATCCAGCGGACGGGAGGACACGTGATTGCATTTCCCTCCAGTCTACTGTGATAGCTAGTCTGCAGAAGGCACAAACTGTACTACCATGTATGATTGCATTTTGCTGTGAGCTAACGTTTGCAGGGTGTGCAGCTGCGGGGTATTCATGTGTCATGGCGGCTCAGACACTGCCGTGGGGAAAGTTGGCTTCGAAGCCGAACTAACGGTGCCAAGCCATTACCAAACCTGAAATCCCGCAAGCCTCTAGATTTTTAAAGCCGAACTAAACCCCTAAACCCTTAAAGCCCTAAACCGTCCTAAACCCCTTAAGCCCCGCATCTGTAACAGGCGATTCTCCTCAAGGACCGAGAATCCCAGTTCACCGGAGGCGGCCTGTCATCACTGCACGTTAATATCGGGGCCATGTTTAGTCCATGTTTGGTTGCTTCTCCTTTTAGGTTGTTGAATCTTTCAACTTTCCGATGGCAAGTTCGTCGACGATTCCCCATGAGTGCAGGATCTGGAGATTTGCTGGAAAAGCGAACTTCTTGTGTGAGTGTACATCAGAGAGAATGTATGCTGTAGCCAACACACATAGTTTCTTCAGTGCGCGTAGCAGCACTGGCCATGCTTAGGCCGGGCCTTGCTGTGACGCTTATTCAGCCTGTAACGGTGATCGTGCTCAAAGAAGAGACCCCCCTCAGTGAAGCAGAGTGGCATGAAGCAGCTCTGCGGGTGTTCACTGCAGCCGTGCTGACCCTATTGAGACCTTACTTTGGACATGGAGTGCCCTGCGTGAACCCCTATAATTTCACCAAGTCCCATGGTGCGCATGCTAAAGAAACATGGGACGTGGCATCAGGCCCAAAAGGGGACTAACCAGTAACCAGTAAGACATGCCATGCCAGGTTGCCGCTCATGAGTCCCTCTGTCATCTGTATGGCTTCGGTCGGGTTTAGGGGGCCTTCAGTTCTTTAGGTTGGCTGCGTTGATTGCACGCCTCACATTTTGCGCAGCTCGTTCTCTGAGCAACTCGCGAACCAACTCAAAGGTGAACTCAAGCCGTAAACCCTAAATCTTAACCTTTTGGAGTCTTCGGTCTCTATGTTGGCGGCATCAGAGGTGCCTTCGGAGGTGTCTACACAGCCTGAACGGTAGCTTAGTGGACAACAGGCCTTCCGCCTGGCGGATTCCGGACGTTAGTACATAGCAGCTGGAAAAGCGCTCAAGAAGATGCTAAACGCATAAGTCCACGAGCTGGCATCGGGAGGTGACAGGCTTGAGTACCAGTACCAGGTCTACCTGGCGGAAGTCGCTGCCCTGGACACTGAATGTTGACGGGATATGACGCACCTGACTGTACATGTTAGGGCTATAATATAGGACAACCTTTAGGCTTTGGTGCGCCTGCTTTGTTGGTTTCATTCTGGGGGAGGCGCGTAGTAAGAACCCTACTTCACCTAGTCTCTCTAGTAGAGTCAGAGAGGCGGAGAAGTCGGTGCTGAGATCATAACATGGGTCCCCCAAGGCCAGCCACTGGTCGGCAGAGCAGATTCGTCAGCTGGACGAAACCCTAAACCCTAAAACACACCGACTGAGCCCGATAGACCTCGCCTGGATTGTCCGAGTTGTGAGAGAGTGTAAACCCTACAAAAACCATCGCCTGCTGCATCGAGTGCGAGTGCTAAAAACCCTACGTACAAAAACCCTAGGCCTTTAGGCCTTTTACCCTAAACGTATCAGGTTGTACTTGACGAAATCCCTGTACGACTAAATGAGGACACGCTTGTATAGGCGTGGCGTCCCAGACCGGCCGTTCCAATATTTGGTGAAATCGATAGTTTTATGTTACTTACTGCAAGTTAGCATGTAACTTCCGTTGTTATAATTCTAGCTTTACTGATTTTCTTCTCATTCTTCTCACTCTTGCAGCTGTTTAGGCTCAGGTCGGCGTGGCACGTTTAGGTGCAGGTGCTGTCGTTCACAATTCGCAGCACCCCTCGGTCATGGCTTGGAAGAGGAAGCTGCACGTAGTGATCGTGGTCTCCGTGTTCGTGGCTTGCGCTGCGGGCATGGCCATGACGCATCTGTCGATGTCTCCGTCAGAGTACAAGAGGAACTGGCTGATTTTTATGGGTATTCCGCTGCTCTGCATATTGCTGGTAGGCACCTCCATTATCATCATGCTCATGGAGACCACCAGCAGCAACCACGTCGTAAGTGTCATAAGCCAGGAGAAACCTGAAGCCCGATGTGTTTGGGCACCAAGCAGGTATGACATGCTGCAGTCGATGAGCCCTCAGTTTTGCTGCTTCCACATTGAGTCAGGCAGAAAGGAGATGTCTAAATCCCTTCCGGCACTGCAAACAAGCCTTTCTGCGTCACGTGCTCATGATTCCATCTCGCCGACTTGCCTATGTTGCCTTGAAGACTTCCGGCCGGAGAGCGAAGTGGCCCTTCTTCCATGTGGCCACGTCTTCCATGAAGAGTGCATTACTTCATGGTCCATGTCTCCATCAAAATCTGCCAGATCGTGCCCAGCGTGCAGGGTGCACTATGACGAGGAGTCCGTCCCGGTATAGTCCTAGTCTACAGAGCTTGTGGGCGGCTCGTCGCGTTGCCGAGCACATTGCAGCAGCTTTTTGATGCTCGTCAGGCTTCAAGCGTTTCCCAAACATTTGTGAAGTGATCTTTCTAGTCCAGCAATATTGGACGGCATGCATGTAATTCGGAGGATTCTTTGCAGATGCTACCTTCTTTAGAATGCCTCTGGGATAGCCATTTTGCTTCGTACCGGCTTTAGGTATTTGGCGGTCAAGTCAATATCCCCCGACGATTGTTTATGTGGTTGGTTATTGGGTGATGCTTCTGAACCCGAACCCTTAAACCCTCAGGCAAAGAGTCCTCGAAAATGAAGAACCTAAGCTCTAAAGGCCCTGAAGCCTTGTATCCCTGTTCCTTTCAAGAACCCGGCAGCCGGGGACGCACCCATATTCGGACATATTCCGGTCCCATCGCGAGTGGAGGGTGCGCAGGCGCCGGGGAGATGCTTTAGTGAAGGGAGGGCCCAGGCTCCTGAAAGTCGAGGAACTTGGGAGACCTGAGGCCGTCTCTCTTATTGGCCTTAGTGTACGAAGGCTTGGTGGATTTGCTCATTGAGAGCATGACAGGCTAACATGTTGAGTTCATTCTTGTAGACCTGTAGTTGTGGTATGAGGTGGTTGGTTGCTGGCAGTGAGACAACTCCAAACAAGCTCAACGGCCGAAAGCAAGGATTGACGCTTGCTCTTTGTAATGTGCGTTCGCAAAAGAAGCTGAGGCAGCTCTGAAACGTCTCGATAAGAGTGCGACATAGTGCGACTGTGCCCAGAATCATAGTCAATCCGCACTTTCAACATGGGTATCTCGTGGGCTTACCAAAAGTCATCCTGAAGGCTTAAATCCACAATCTCTAGACGCTGGCAACAAGCTTGCAGTTCGGGCCACTTTGCTTAGCTTATAGAATGAACAGCCGCTGGCACAGCAATTGCAGGAAGTACTGTTTGCAGTGGGAGGCCCAACAAGAACAGCAGAAACGCAGATGCAGTCGTCGTCGTCGTCGTAGTAGTAGCAGCAGTAGCAGCATCAGTACAAACAGTAGCAGCAGCGCTTAAAGCCATAGCAAGGCATAGTCGTAGTTGTCGACGTCATAGTCTTCGTGGTAGCAGAAGCAGCAATTGCCGCCGTAGGTGCAGCAGTAGTGGTACTAGCTGCAGTCGGTGGTCGTAGCAGTAGCAGCAATACTGAGAGAAAACTCAGTCTTACGACTTACTACTTACTGCTTACTACTTACGACGTACTAACTACTACTACTACTACTACTACTACTACTACTACTACTACTAATTACGACTACTGCTACTGCTACCGCTACCGCTATTTCTACCACCTTCTACTGCTGCAGCTGCTGTTAATTAACAGCACGACTTTCGCTTCGTGGCTCGTGGCACTCAAGGTCGTGCCTGTGATGGAGAGGAGAGGCTGCAGCTTCAAGGAGGCTGTCGCGGCCTTGGCAACCTTCGGGTCAGGGCTTCGGAGATTTCAAAGGCGTCAAAGGATGCAGGTTTCTGAATTACTGCTGCTGGCTGAACCGTACGAGGGTATGATTTGGGTCTTCGCATGCCCGCATAAGTGTCTGTGTGTGAGAGACGCCTTAGGTGAACATTCTGCACCCTCCTCCACCTCCTTCTGGCAGCTTGGCCTTTGCTTTCCGTGCATAGGATTCGGGAGTCACGGGGATGGACGACGTTCTTAGCACTTCGCACATTACTGTAAATACAGGCACAGGGGCCAGCCTACTGAGCAGCACGCTGCTTGCACATTGGTTGGAATCGAGAGTTGTGTTCTGCCGAACTGTTGCGCCAACTCTACGTGCAAATATTGTTGGACAGCTTTGAAGGTGGATCTATGCATGCGGCTTCCGTCACCTGCGTATGCAGCTTCATATTCATGTAGAGCTTTCCTGGGCAGTCATTTTTTCGGCACCACAGGGGCCTCATGAATCTGATCCCTTCTGCTGGATTGAGCTAGAATGCGCTGCTCTGAAGGCTTGTTCTGCTTGTTTGGTCGATGCCCGTTGGCAACAGAAACCAATCCCCGAATGCAGCCAGGGCTTCCTGGCCTTCCCCTTAGGATAAGCCCTAGATTCTTTGTCCGTTCGCTAGATGCCGCAGAGAGCGAAGTATCTTCGGAAGTTCTCTAGGTCTTGGAGCAGGATGTGACTTGGAAAATGCCTCAAGCCATGTGAGATGGCAGGAAAAGGGACGTCAACCAAGTCTCGACCACACGGGTCTACCTTCCATTTCTGTGTTGGGCGTGCATCAGAACTCCTCCGCGCCCCCAATCCCCAACAGACCCACCTTTGAGAAGTGGGAGTTTCCGAAAATAAGGGGTACCTTATTTTAGGGTCCTTATAATAAGCATCCTACTATCTAGGGTACTAAATTACGGTCCCCTATTTTCGGAAACCCCCAAGGCCCAAGTGATCCTCGGCCCGAAACCCAACGCCGGAAGTGTCCAAGATCCCTTCCCCAAGGCGAGGACAACGAGAAGCTACGCATTGACACCAAGGAAGAGCTGAAGGAGCTCAGAAAAGACACGGAACAGGGCTTTGGGTTTAGGGTTTAGGGGTTTAGGGCTTTGGGTTTAGGGTTTAGGGTTTAGGGGTTTTATTACTCTGGCCCGTGGCCTTTGTGATATTAGAGCGGCGATGCTTCGGAGGAAAGTTGGTGGTGGGGTTCACTGCAAACCCCGCAGGCGTCAGCAAGAAGCAAATCCAACACCCTTGCCAAATCATCCCTCTGAAAGGTGCCATTGCTAAAATAGAATTTGCCGGGCCACCACAACTCCGGAGCCCCTACAAATGCTTGATCCCGAGAGCCTCTAGCGTCTAGAGCCCCTGGATCCTACATCCTTACGCCCGAAGAAAAAGAACGCCGCCAACCAACAAGTAATTACGTCTTCCGGCGGGGCAAAGGCAAGCGCTATTCTTGAGGTGTGCAACCTTCGGGTGTTGGGACCTGAGCTTACCAAGCAAACAACTGGGGTTCGGGCTCTGAGGCGCCAGCCCTCGACCCTTCCATGCATCCTCTGTTACAACCGCGGCGAAGAGCGTTGGGACCCGAATTCTACCCTAAACCCTAAACCCTAAACCCTAAACCCTAAACCTGCCCAAAAAGCCTTGAACCTGCTCCCCAAGACCCGAAACCCCAAGCCTGCTGCACACTGACCTGCCTAAGCAGGCTGCCTTGCAGTAACAGCCAGGATACCAGGTCCTCACAAAAAGAACCCTAAACCTGGCCCTAAACCAAAACCAAGCCCCAAGCCCTGGACCCTAAACCCT